TTTTTTCATGACAAGATTGTGAAGCTCACAATCGAACATTAACCATCAAATTAATTCAGAAAGATTCAGAATGTTTCATTCTACAAGAATCTTTGAATGATAATTGTTTTAATGCTTGAAAAAAAAAGATTTCCAACTTCTTCTCAAAATTCGTGATCATATTTATGATAAACGTTTTGATCACTAGGTTGATCTACTTTTTCAAAGTATTTGTTGTCTCAAGTCTGAAAACTTGGTGTAGAAAAGCGATCATAACCAGTTTCATAATATTTACTGTGGTCTTGCAGCGAAAGGACTTTAGAACTTTGTTGCGTAATCGAGTATTTTTTTATGTTAATCAGTTTGTTGTTATGCTCGTCATGTTTCTCGAGATGTGTTAGTATGTTTGATCTGCTATTCAAATAATGCTCATGCTAATCATGCTCTCGTATAACACGTCACGTTTATCTACTACTTTTTTCTAAGCTGTTTTCATTTCACAATCTCAGTGTAGCTTCTCAGATGATTTACGATAATATCCCGCATAATCACTTTTTTTATGGCATACTCAGCTCTTTCTTTTATGTTCATTTATGATGCCGACCTCTGCTTAGTGCTTCTCAATGCCAGAGAAGCCTGAATTCTCTTACTCTCTCATCTTATCGTGTTCTTGTGTTCGCTTGACAAATTTGTATTATAATATTTCAGTAAAATGGCTTCCTCTGAACCATTTTTGACCTGGTTGAGCAATAGGGAATATGATGATCTGAAAATTGAGGAGATTCATGTATTTTTTCATTTTTGTAGTTGTATGATATAGTTTATTCCTTCCAGAGATCGCCAATGTTCAGTTTGAGAGAAAAAGAAGAGAAAGAGATAGTCATCCTGGTTAATGCCATGTATCGCTTTTTCTGCCGGAACGATGAACGCGCCATCGTTAAACAGCTCTACTTTCTTACTCCGTTCTTCTTTCCGTTGCAGATGATGAAGTTGACAAGGTTTGTTGTTTGTAGTGCGATGTATGATGTATGTTTTTTTTCTAGGCATGTTCTCCTGTACCCTCAGACACACACTAACAATCACCGATATAATCGGTTGAAGAACACTCTACAGGTAACTTTATCATTTTTTTCTTTGATTTTCTTTGTTTAGAACCCGCGTGGCTTCAATTGTTATTATAATTCCTTCGGGGGTTATAAAACAGAGGTAAACGTGTACTCAGGTACCACCCATAGGCTCAACATCAAGACATACTCCATCTATGAAGAGTTCCGTGAGACCCAGTAAGTCTTGTTATCGTTTTTCAAATATTCCTTCTTCCAGCCTGAAAGGAACGCACTCCTTCTACCTAACAAGTGATCTCGCCGAGTCAATCGCCAAAGTTGTTGCGGCTTTTCTACTCTGCCCGGTTTGCGTGCAAATGCTCTTCCTGAAGGCTGATGATGTAAGTTTAAATTTTTTATGATCCTAATGATTGCACCTGTTATGATCCTTGTGATTGTAGCTATTATGATCATTATGATTATAACTGTTATGATCATTCTGATTATAATTGTTATGATCATTTTGATTATAACTGTTATGATCATCATGACTAACACTGTTATAATCATCAGGATTATAGTCATTATGATCCTCATGATCATAACTGTTATGATCCTAGTGATGACGCTCATTATGATCCTAATGATTATAAATTTAATTTTTTTTCTTTTCAGCCGCATGAATCCAAAGCTATCGCATCTGTTTTCGATTCGCTGTTCTCCATGAAAAAGCCAAAGTTCTATCAGTTCGACATCAACAGCGTCCGTTTGGACAGATTCATGCTCCGTAAGATTTTTGAAGTTCAATGAATAACGTAAACTCCTTTTTTCAGGTCCCGAAGTCTTCAAGGATTTTGTGAAAACCACGAAGATCTACGATGATATCAGCTGTGCTTTCCGGAATCTCCCAAGAAACCTCGTCACATCTAGATCCCAGTCACCTGTGGTTTGAAATTTCCGATGGCGTTCATAACGTATTGTTTCAGGGATTCTTGCCTGGAAGAAGCTCTACTGAACCCGTAAGGGAAGGCTCCAGTCAACCCGTAAGGGAAAGCTCCACTCAACCCTTAAGGGAAAGCTCTACTGAACCCGTAAGGGAAAGCTCTACTGAACCCGCAAGGGAAAGCTCCATTCAATCCGTGAGGGAAAGCTCTACTAAACCCGTAAGGGAAAGCTCCTCAGCCAGCACACGCTCTAGCTCATCAGAGAGTGCCGAGTCTTCTGTAAGTAGCCGCAACAAAAGGCCCGCGTCAAGATCAGATGAAGAACCAAAAAGAAAAAAAGCTGCACTTTCCAAGAGCAACGATTCAATGGACACCACCGTAACCACCTTCTCAGGTGAAGCTGAAAATAATGGTGAGTTCTTCTCCTTTTTTTTTTTTTATAATTTTTTGTTCAGAGATAATTCCAGCTGACGACGCTCTACTGATCGCCTTTTGTGAGTTTCTGGCTACCTTCTCCGTAGCTGTTGACCCAACAGAAGTCCAGGTCCCAAAAAAGCTGAAACTAGAGATGCAGCTCCTCCTGAACAGTAAAGACTACAGTCTTGTGGGTAAGTCTTTTGAAGAAAATTTCATAGTTAATCTTCAATGTTCTTCAGATATAGGCGAGATGAATCCTGTGAAATGTGGAAAAACTAAGTGTTTTCTCTCCAACGCACTGCCAGCTCAGAACACTCCATTTCTTTCTGTAAGAAGAAAGACAGAACTACCAACCGTGTTTGCCTACAAAAAAAAAAGAGATGGATCCCTTCAAGTTATCCTCAAGTTCAAGGAGAAGGCCGCTAAGTACGCTCTTCCAATCGAAGGCTGCTTCTTCCATCCCACGTTAAATGTGGTCGAGCTCATGGAGATCTTCTGCCAAGCGGCCCAACACTGGCCCTTACAACATCTAGTTAAACTAAAATAAAAAATGCTTGTATAACAATGATAAAATAATAAAAATTTTTAATAAACTCTTGTACAGTGTAACATTCTAAATCTTACAAAATGTGATCATCAGGATCATACTGACGATCATCATCTGGATCAACACTATGATCATAAGTATGATCACAAAAAGTAATATATACATACATAAGAATTCCTCATAGTCAGCACAGATTAGGTCCAGATACATGTAGGTATATATATGTATGTATGTATGTATATATTACTTTTTGTGATCATAC